AGAAAAGGTACAAGGTACAGAAAAAAGAAAAAGAACATCGAAATTAAGACTCTTCAGTAACACCACATGGCTGGGTTTGAAGTTCAGAAGACTACTGGGAGGACATCTCGGCAGCCTTCTCAGCCGAGAGCTCGGTATCAATTTCTTAAAGGGTTTGATCGAGGCTCTTGTCGGCGAGAGGCACGTCCGATGATGCCTTCTCGGGAGTAGCATCCTTGGGAACCTCTTCACCCTCCTCATCTTGAGTCAAGTCCAGGACTTGCTCATTTGGAGTAGGGGACTTGGCCCCAGCAGCTTCCTTTGACTTCCTCACCAAAGCTTCCTCCTCAGACTCAGAATCGTCGTCGGATTGGCTTGGAGTTGGGGGGAATGGAAGAGGAAGGACGTCGGTGTTCCTGAGGGGGGAGTCCTCAGGGATTTCAAGCTTTTTCAGTAAATTCATCCAACCAAGGGTGAAACCCTTGTTGCATCCCTACTTCACTTGTTTCTCGTAATCCGCCGTGACATCGGCCACCCCCTCATCGTATCCCTTCTCGTCAGCGGCCTTGATTTCGGCCTCTTTTGTGGCCAAGGCATCTTGAAGTTCTTTCTGGGCCTGAGTCATCTTTTCCTCGGCCTCTCTCTTTTTGGCCTCGAGAACCTTCTTGATGGCCTCAACGGCATTCGCTTTTTCTTCGGCATCATCCTTAGCTTTGATAGCAGCCTCGGCCTGATCCTCCAAGGTCTTCATTTTTTATTGCAAGTTTTTATTGGTCTTCTGCAGACTAGTAGCCTCCCTAGTCTTGTCGGCCAACGCCTTCCTTGTCTCAAAAGATTGCATTGAGAAGGAATGGGCGTGCTGGATTGCTTGAAGAAAAATAGACAGAGCAGAAGTTATTAGAAAATTTTCTAAGTATGAAAAAGAGAAAGAAAGAAAAATTACCGAATAAAGAGACTTACTTGAACAGAGTGTTGGAGCATCAAAGAAAAGTTTTCATACTCGCTCATCTCGACGTTTCGGTCGAGATCGCTAGGAAGAAGCAGAGCGGTACTAAGAGCGACGTCGACATTAGCGTCGTCGGCACTATCGTCAGCCCTCACTGGCCTGTTTTCCAGTGTGATTTGGGGGGCCCAGGGCGAATCATGCTTTAGAGACCCCGAGGTGGTTGCAGAGGATGACCTCGGCCTCTTTGATCTAGCAGACTCAGGTGGTTGGCCCTCGGCAGGCCTCTTCTCGGCCGCAGAATGGGACTTGTCACTCTCAGCCAATTTGAAAATTGGCAAGGTGTCCTCAATATCAATTTGAGTCACCGTTGCTTTTGGTTGAGCCTTCTTGAGTCTTTTTTGGTTTTGCTTTGGTTGAGGCTGGGTTTGTACTGGTCAAACGTCAATGTCGGCAGGGATGCTGGCTAGGAGGTCTTTGGCGATTGCTTTTTGGCGGCCCATCTCAGCAGCAAAAACAGTTCGTCGTCGTCGTTGGCGTTGAGATAGAGGGATCAGATATGGAGCCGAGGTTGACGGCTGTTCTGCTGGATTAGAGGTCGACCCTTGATCTGGCCAAGATGAGGAGGCTGCTTGAGGAGTTGTAGCGGAAGGCAGAGAAAGGCTTTTCTTCCTCTTTGGGACGTCGGGAAGAACTGACTTGTAGGAAGGAATGAAATTGAGTAGAAGAGGGGCTTTCCGTTTGTGGACAGGCAAATCAAGTAGCCTCTTCAAATCCTTACTGGGGAAGAAAGACTTGCGGAAGCCCTTTGGTGGCTGTGGAAGAACTGCAAAAAGAAGAGCACAGACATTAGAACAAAGTATTGAGAACTTTAGAAAAAAGAGTAAGGAAAAATGACACTTGGCCCTTACCATCTCCTTCCCCGAAAACTGTTCAGCTTAGGGGATAAAGGTGGAGGTCATCGTTGGGCTGAAACTCCCAGTTGCCCGAGACGATGAAGTAATCATCTCCAACACCCTTGTTTGAGTCTGGGAGGTCGGCAGTGAGCTTGTACTCTGTGGACCTCGGCTTGAGGTAGTAGATATGGCCTTTTTCTGATTTCAGGCGACACATGGTATAACAATACTGAATATCGGCAAGGGTGACCCTAGCATTTTCATTTTTGGCTAAGGTAATTATGCTATTGATAACTCGGTAAGAGTTGATGGCAAGTTGCATTGGGTTCAATTTGTAGTAGTGAAGGACTTCTCGGAAAAGGGGATCAAGTGGAAACCTAAGCACGCATTCGACAAAAGCCACTACTGGGAAAGACATAAGGTTTACGTCGGGCATAATAGAGTCTTCCTCCCCTGCCAACCTGAGATGTACGTCGGCAGGAATAGAAAGCTCTCGCCTAAAGTACTCTAGTTTGGTCGGGGTTTCTACCCTATGCTTCCACATACCCATGATGTCGGTTTAACTGGAGGAGTTGGGTTTCAGAAAGGAGTGTTTTGGAGGGTTTTAGGGACCTCGGCTAAAGCCCAAAAATACACAGAATCTGTGGGAATCGTTTCAGTTTTTCCTAAGAATTTGTGGGTTCTACGAACAAATCCCAAACCTAGATCTATGGAAACGAAGATTGAAGGCACGAATCTGGAAAAGACACAGAAAACAGAAAATAAGAACGTGTTTCAGAATCAAGAACAGTGATGAACTATCAAGAACACTATGATGAAGTGTACACAAGGATGTGAGGCCAAGAATAGTGGCAAAAGTAAACAAATTCGTGAGCAATGTGTGTATTCAAAATACGAATTGGACAAAAGCAAAGTCATGAAATAAGCATGCTCAAATACGTGATTCATAAGTCAAGAACTTGAGCAGAACAACAATGGTAACGAATAAAAAAGAAAACTTTTTCAAGAACTGAAACCAGGAGGAACAGTGGCTTATCAGAAAAGTGAGGTCGGAGTAGGGATTGCCGAAGTCAGACAATGGTTGCAAAGGCGACAAAGTGGTGAAAATTATGCCAGAGGAGGAAAATACGGCAAGTTGCAGAGCTAGGAAAGCTTGAACAATGACGGATCTTTGGGAAAAAGCTAGAGAGAGAAAAAGCTTCAGAAACGATGGTAAAGAGTGAAAAGACGGGGAAAGGAAGGAAGTTTGTCAAAATTCGAAACGGCGGCAAAAAGACAATTAATGTCCCTAAAACGACGTATGCGTCAGGCGGCGCACGCAAGAAAAATTCGACTTACAGACGCGTATTAGGCACGATCCAGTAGGGAGAAGACGCGTGGCTAAAATGGTTGAATTATTTTGCGTGACAGCTCATGCGCGCAGTAAAACTCTTGGAGTTCTTGGTTTAATGAAGCAAGCGACCTTGGCTGAACTTAGTCGTGTGAAGCTGACGTATTATGACATCGGTAAATGGATGATACAAAAAGACAGCCAATATGCTAAACGATATGACGATATAGGTTCCATCACCTCATGATGCCGAGGTAATAGAACCTAGGGAGCAGTTGTGGAGATATATTTTCTGAGCACCAACATGTGGTCAAGGTGACGCCGACGTGTCAGCCGAGGTGCCACGTGTCCTGGTCGTGACGCCGAGGTGATCTCGGTTAGGCCGAGATTACCTCCAAAGATATCGAAATTCGGGATAAGTAGATATGGGAAAAGAGTCTTAGAATGAGGAAGGGCTTCAGCCTGGATAAGGATAAAGCTCTTAGGGAGTTTATCTTTATCTATTAGAGAGTTCAGGATAAGCACTGAGCAAAAGTCCATTGAAGCTAGGCTTCTATTGGGACTAGGTTTGTATTGACTATAAAAGAGAGGCACCCCCATGGGTCTAAGGTACGCAATTTATATTGTGAACAGTGAGTTAAGCACTTTATTTATCTTTGAGAGATAATTGACTTGATCGTCGGAGTGCCCCCGGGTGGACAAACCACTGCCGAAATCTCTTCTTTCTATTGCAGGTCAATCAGGCGTCATCTATTCTGCCAGTGCTCTCCAGCTGAATACTGAGTTGGCAGTGTGGTCAGCAATTCACTTACACACTAACTAATAAATTTTAAAAGATAAATGATTTGAATCACTGAGGTTGGCACAAAATGAACTCACAAAATTCAAATACTTTATCAAATTAAATGGCCAATTTCAAACAATCTAAACCCTTTAAATATGTACCTTAGATTTGCATTCTAGGCAATTTTTGATTTCCCTTTCCTTTCAGGTACAATATACAAGCAAGAAAATGGACTTTTATATTATTATTTTATATAGAAATATGTGGCTTTGATCCGAATCTATCACTTTAAACACCACATTATTTTTGTGAAATTATATATTTTCCTTCAATCTTCTAACTTCTAAATAGACATATTAATAAAAATAAGTGGAGCTAATTTGTACATGAGTTTAGATATGATTTCTTCAGCTCTAGCGGAGCTGTAAACAAGTGGGTCTCACTTGTGATGTAATGTGTATATATATATATATTTTGGGAACTGTCACATCATTAGAGCTCTCTATCATTGTTGTTACAAAAATTAAACATAACATAATTATGTTCAATAACATGGGTACTATTGTTGAATTAAGTGTGTTAGAACAATGTGATGGTGGCATTTTTATAATTAAAAGAATACTTGATGTGTGATTTTGTTTTAAAATGATATAAAAAATTTATAATTTTTTTTTCTATTTGCATAACACTTCTTAATATTTAATCTTAATGGGGTTATCCAAAACAACCACTTTCTAAAAATTTCTCCCTTTTATAAATGTGGAGAGGGAAGCCACCTAGAAAGTAAATCTAATTTTTGGACATGAATAATGATACTCATATTATTTTCCTTAGTTCCTAATATCATAAAATACTTCCCGATACACGTTTCATACACAATCATTATTAATAGTAGATCAGAGAATGCCCATGTCAAAGGTACTCATGAATTGCAACAAAATGTTAGGATCACTAACATCACAAAATAGGCAATAATCACCAAATGTTAGTTCACTTCTTTTTCTTTTTTTTTTTCTTGGAACTAAAATGTTAGTTCACTTGGATTGTTAGTATCTAGCATTTTTTTAATTTTTTTTTTTATTATTATGAATCACGAGGCCAAACACAATCTTAAATAGGCAATAATGCCGACAAAATCATGTAGTTTATAATAAACTAGTATTCCCCCAATTATATCCCTAGTTAATCAGGATTACATGCAATTCAAGTTCTCTATCTCTTCATTTTCTATAAAATGAAAAGTAAAACAATATAACCCCCCCTTTAATTTCACATCTTTAGTATAAGAGAAGCTGCTGTGTATAGAGCCCATGCAAGAAATGTGGAAATGATGGTAGTCTTAGTAGGCATCCTTCCTTTATCAGTCCTCAACACCATAGCCTCATAAACTGGGCAACAATTCAACACCACAAAACCCGAAATCAACAATTGACCAAACAGTCCCTCTGAGTTCTTGCCCCTCAAAACTCCGATCAACCCTCCAATAAATGCAATTAAATTGATTATTGCTGCTACTGCTAGTGACACAAACATGGGCGACTCAACTCCGAACTCAAATGTCCCTTGATCATACCTTTTGCCCTGTTCATTGTCTATTACTTTGCTGGTGACATTGAATCCCTGTGTGGCAATGCCTACGTACTTCGATATGAATTCTATTAATCCAAACATGTGACATGTGACTCCCCTCACCATCCACATCCTTTGATCACTCCACCACCTTTGAAATGTTCCTTTGGCTAAGATGTAGTCAAGACAATCTTGTCCATAGCTCCCAATAAATAGAAAAATGTACAAGAAAAAACAGTTATCCGAAACCTGTAACATTAGTTTAATTACAATTTGGGGTTAGTTTACATACATAAAATAGAATAACAGAAAAGTATAAAAACAAAAAACCCTACACTACATCCCTTAAGGTTTGAAGAAAATATAATAAAATCTCATGAGTTTGATATAATTACAATGAGCTCCCGTAAAATTTTAATTCGCATTATATTTAATCATGTTTTCATCAAAAATATGTTAATCATATAGATGAAAAAAAGACGACAGACAAATCTTTCACACTAAAATGTATATTTTACGTTGTTTATCATTGTGTGTTCACACAATTTACATTAGTTTCAGTTAATTTTTTTTTTTTTTTGAATGGCAAAGAAATTTTTATTAAAGATGTGAAAGAGAATACAAAAAGGGAGCTAAACGGTGAGATGTATCATAACGTTGATCCTACATCCTAACTAGATTGGCACATGGGAACAAGAAAATCATGTGCTACCAACATAGCACAGCACCAAAAGAGTACAATCTGTGTAGCTTCAAGGTTGTGCAAGAAGTCGGCAAGACACCAACTTAAGAGAGAGAGGGGAAAAAAAAGAAAGAAAGAAAAAATACTAAAAACATAGCAGACCAAAATGAGGCAGATCCAGCCAACAAACAAACAAAACTACCCCTAGATCCAAGACAAGAGCGTGTAATTATGGCCAAAAGATATTAGTTTCAGTCATTTTAATTTTACTAAAAGGAAATAAATATAATTATGTCAAAATTATTCAATTTGTATTTTCTCTCAACCTTAGTGGAGATCAGTGCAATGTACCCAAACCAAAATGTGCTAATATGTTTTGTCTCCAAATATCCTTATCCCTTAATCTTAATTCACTCACAGTCATTGAATATGTATTGAAATTTTCACATCACAAAATTCTCACATGATCTAATAATTGTGAGTGGATTAGGAGAGAGGAACATAGATATTTGCGGATAGAGGGTACTTACCCTATTACCCTTATTATTTTTACCCAATGTGGGCTTAACATGCAACAATGCTATGTAAATCCTAAAAAAGTGTTATGAATTTGAAATATGTGAATTAGAGAGTTTGGCTCATCATACACAAAGTTTAAATCAATACTATATATTGAAATTTTAAGTGCTTCAAGTTTATTAATATTTTTTCTATATATATATATATATATTATATTTCTGCTCATTGTGTAGGATTTTTGTAATTTAATTATGTGTATATAGATTTTTCTGTCATTGATATCAATTTACTGAAGACTATACAAAATTATTGGATCAAGCAGAACTGAATTGACTAGTGGAGGTAGGTACATACCTTAGGGAAGACGGAGATTCCATTGAGGAGAGTGAGCTGAGGCAGGAAAGCATACATGGTGATTGGAATTGACCAAATGGGCCAGAAAGCATAGTGTGCATAGCAAAGACCCATTAGAGACCCCATAGCCTTGGAGCCAAAAGTTAATGGACAATATTTGGAGAAGCTCACCTCAAGTAGGCCCACACACCATCTCTTGGTTTGACTTAGGGCATCATTGAGGGTTATGGGTACATCCCCTAAAAATGCTGCTCTATTTGGATGGCAAAACACAGACTTCCACCCCTCACATTGCAGCCTATAACCAGTATAGTAGTCCTCCACCAGTGACCCATATCTGAAGCCCAACTGCATATTTTGCAACCAAGTCAATGTTTTAATAACAATAATAGTAACAGTAAATCCTACAGTTTTAGAGAAAAAAATAGGGTAAATTACAGTAATCTTCTCTTTTTAGAGAAATCAGTTTTGGCGCATATATTGACCTCATTTTTAGTAAGGTTAAAGGAACCAAAATTATTGCACATATTGTGAAGATAAAATAATAAACATTCTAATATATATATATATATATATTTCAATGTAAAAGAGATGACAGTATCCATTTTTCATACATATGACTTACCAATTACCGATAAAAAATGGGTTAATTGTTATGTGAATTAAAAACCTCAGGGTTGTTCTTGGATTATGAATTTGGGTAGGAATTTAAAAGAAAAAGGAAAAGGTGATAGAAACGGAGAAAAAAAATTAACTTATATTTCATACACATTTCTCTTATCTTTTCATTTCCTTTCTAAATCTACATGTAAATTCATAATCCAAACACAACCTAGGGAAACTCAATTTCAATAAATCAAATTTATGAAGGACTTACTATAATTTTTGAAACTTCAGTAAATGTCAGTGTGATTTATCCACACAAAAAAATAAATAAATAAAAAAAAATTATAAAAAAAAAATGTGTAATTCAAATTTAATAAACAAGCTTTTAGCTTACCTTGGAACCCCAATTGGTTTGGTTCTCATACTTGCAATCTGCAACCTGGTGTGCCAATGCCAATACTTGTTGGGCCTGGATGGGCTTGCTTACAACGTGGTCCGGCCACAATTCGGGAATTTCGGGAGCCAAAAAAGATGATGGGCCTCCAAAAAAGACTCGGCGAGAGAAAAAGCATCCAGTCCCAATATAATTCGGGCCTAGCAGGCCATCCAGTCCCATAGGATTGGTTTGGAACAAGCCTTTAAACTCACAAGCATAAATATCGTCCTTGTTGAGCCCATGAAAGATCTGAGGAAACTGAACATACCCTAAATTGGGCCTAAGTTTTGGATCCGAGAAGAAACATAACATGCGGTGAGGCGTTTGGGGATCATTAGAATACATGTCACAATCTAGGGTCAGGATTATAGGAGCATTTGTCATGATTCCTGATACTCGAACCTTCAAAAATATATACATAAACTTAAAATTAAAACAACATTATCAACAACTTATTTATTTATTATTTATGGATAAATTACAAATACATACTTTGAAATTTGCTTAAAATACTATTTATTTTTGTAATTCTGAAAATTATATCCCTCCCTTTGAAATTTGTCCCTTTTATTAATAAAACATCAAGTCAATTAGTAATTTTTAATGATGTTAAGAATTTATTTTAATTCAGGTAATTTTATCATTGTATAAAAGAGTATTTTAGGAATTTTATTTTTTCAGTTAATTTTGTCAAATAAAAAAGTTTAACAAATAGATATTTGTAATTTTTCAAACCACATGGATCAATCCGTATTTTAAGAAAATTTCAAAAGTTTCAGTCTTAGAACACCACAAAATTGGGTCTTAATTTGTTCATTCTTTAACAAATCCATAAATGGTATATAACAATTCACTTAGATGTAAATTTAAAAGTGCTGTTTTAGAATCTTGAAGATTTTGCTTTGTTTTAATCTTAAAAAGAAGATTTAAGAGATAATTAACTGTACAACAAACTTTTTGTATATGCATTTTATGTAAAATAACGTGACTTTTTCTGATCCATCATTTTAAGTTGTATTCATTATTCTAGTTCATACTTTTAATCCAAATAATAAGTTCTTGTATAAAAATTTGATTTCTAGATGATTTTTCTTAGTTAAACATGCTCATCGATCATTTGTAACATGGCCATTGACTTCTATTCAGAGGTCACTTGACAAATGATTGTTATAGTACATATGCAATGTGAACCTTTATGGAAAAGGAGCTGGAATTTTTTGCCTTAAAAAATGTCTCCTAATCTTATTATTTATAATCACATAATTTAATTTTAAATTTAAAAATTTAAAAACTATGAAAGCATAAGAGGGGTAATAGTACTTTTTGGGACAAAATCTTAATTCTAGAAAAAAAAAAAAATAGTGTAATTCTATACAAGCATAAAATATATACATGGTTTAGTTTTTCTCAAATTGTCATCTTAATTTGAGAGAGCGTTTAGATTTGGTAGGCCTATTTTGGAACCGTTTTCGGTGATCTCAATCGTTTATTTTTAGAACTCGTTGAGAAAAATATTCATGTAAAAAATTAATGTGATTGGATATCGATAACTATAAGTTTGAATCATATTTGTTTTAAAAAAAACGAATGACAAATATAATTTGGAATTGGTCTTTCAAATTGTCATCTTAACTCGAGAGAATGTTTATGTTTGGAAGTCTATTTTGGAGTTGGTCTTTCAAGTGGTGCCCAAGAGAGGCAAATGGTGTGGCTCATTAGGTTGCTAGAGTTGGGCTTGTTGGAAAATAGTTTTATATAGGCATATTTTTTAACTCAATTTGGGTGGACTCCAAACGTGTTTTGGGATGGGTCCGAAAAGGTGAAGTGGTGAAAATGGAACGTCAAAACCATTTATGAGTGAATGGGAAGATGACGTCGTTTTCGAGTTTAACATTAATTTCTTTGATAAAATTCATTTGAATTTTTCAATAAAAATTATTGTGGGAATTTAATTTAATTCTAAATTCAAATTTTTGGTTCCTGAGTGGTTTCCTAAGGTTTGTAATTTTGGGAGTTTAATTTAATTCTTAATTCAAATTTTTATTTCCTAATTGGTTTTCTAAAAATTTGATTAAACTATTTAAATAGTTTAATAAAGTTATTTCTTTCGAGTGATAGATTTTTTATGAATTAACTTTTCTAACTATTCTAATAGTTTATTTATTAATGTTTCAAATAGTTTTTGTAATTGTTGCACCTCATAACCTTTCAAATTGTTTGAAAGCAACGGTCAAGTTTACATTCAAATCTGTTAATTTGAATAAGACACCTATTGACTATTCAAACGGACACTTTTGTTGCCTATAAATAGAATTGATATTCCAGCAATCTAAAGAGGTTGTTTTTTTTTGTAGAGACATCGAAAAAACCAGTCAGAAAAATAGTCTGAAATTTTGTTCTATTGTTATCCGAAATTTTCTATTTTTGCATTATTCCTCATATTTAGTTTTAGGAATAAATATTCAGAGAGTTAGAACACAGGTTTGGTTCGCCGAACAAATTGTTTGGAGTACTACTACAATTTGTGTAGATCATTGTATCCTGGGAGATAGACGCCACTCAACCGTAAGCACCGTAGCAAGGCGAATCTGTCTTAAGGACAGAGTGCCACACACTCGACTTGGTCTTAAATTATTTATTCGGTTAAATAAATAAATTCGGTACGTTATTTATTTATTTTGTTTGAATTTATTTCTAATTATTTTATTTACACAGAAGATTGTTCCAACAATCTTAAGACAGATTCGAATTATTCTGTTTACAGAATTTTTCGTTTGTTTTCCTTTTTCATTCTTCGTAAATAATTTCAGAAGAAAATTATTTTCTGTGAATTTACAAAATAATATTCTGGTTGGAAAAACAAATAGTGATTATATGCTATTGAACAGATAGTAGTAATATATGTCTCTTTTCTTTGACAACAACTAGTAGTACGATACTGGTGTCATTAACAATGC